ATTGTCTTCAGCTGTTCCATTAGGATGAGAAATCTACTAAGGGAGTATGTTTTATCTAAGGGAGTATGTTTTATCTATGCCCGTACTAACGCTCAATTTATTAGAGCCTTCAATAAAATGTCATAGTTGAACAACAATATGTCTTGTGACATGTTGAAAGTACTGTACATGAAGTATTCTGCAAATCTTGGAATTACACGTGATCCATAGTCATAAAGCTTATTAGGAACTCACTAAAGTAACGTTTTCAAAAAATGAGCATCCATAAAGGCCCTAACTGATGGGCTAATACGACTACAGATCTTAGTCGTCAACTCCTTCCTAGTGCTATAATGTGTTCTTATCACCTCGTTACGTTATCAAAATGCCCTTGTTTAGAAAATCCAAAACTACTGTTATCAAGGTTCGCTGCAATCTTATCACTTGCCTCATAAGCTGTGCATAGTTTGGTAATAATTTAACGTATAATTTAATGATCAGTATTTGCGATTTGATCACTTTTAAATTACACAGTGTAATTTACACTTTTGATCTGCTTTTAGTAAAACAGTAGGTACCCTATATTATTTCAACGAGTGTACTTTAAACATAATTTAAGTATGTAAAGTGAATTTTGTAGAAATATAGCAATTACCGTATTCTGGACAAGGTTACTGTAGGCGGTACTTGTTTTAGAGTCCTCACTTGGCTTAGGACAAAAGGTCTACCACTTATTTTGGAGCCCTTAAAACCCAAAGTAGCTGGAACTTATACTTGAATAGATACAACTTCAGTATCGGCGTGGTGTGGAGGGGTAGCGAGCAGTGGGGAGACTACTGTTGCGGTGTTGCCGCGTTGTCGCGGACGGCCTACGACTGCAGTGAGCGGGAACTGCCCAACTACTTCAACACAGAATATGCGCGCCAGCGGACTTTTCAACGACGCAAACGCACGCAACGTTACTATTACGACTTACGAACCCAACTTACCAACCCGAGTAAATCTCATTAACCACGCCTCAGTGAATACTCTACTTAAAAGTTCAAATAAAATTAATAGGCTAATTTAAAATATAATTAATTCGTCATATTTAAAAATATTGTATTCTAGAAGTAAAAAAATGTTTCATTACGTATAAAAAAAAATATAAAAAACATATTTAACATATTAAAAAACATGTAAAATATATGTTTTGTGATAAGTTTGCCTATTGAGACAGCGTAGGGGTTGGGCTGTGCGGCGCGCGCCGCACCGTGTGAAAGCTCCCTTCACTGTGTGCTTTTTTGTGAATTTCTGTTTTTTTGTTGGCTTGTGTTGGAGCCTTATCCAAAATCTTGGAATGGTATGGTGCATTGTCCATAACAATAACCGATGGGGTTGAAAGGTTAGGCAGAAGTGATTCTGTGATCCATTTAAAAAATGTATCATGGTTCATTTCTTCGTGGTAGTCTGTGGTTTTCTTTGAAGAAAACAATAAACAACAGTTAGGAACAAACCCTTCAGATGTTCCAGCGTGCAGCAAAATCAACCTACTACCTTTACCAATAGGAGCTGCTAACGTACCTTCAGTTGTCTCGTCAGTCCATCCTCGAGCGAGGGTGTGGCCGGTATTCCCCATGTTTCGTCTAACCACACTATCTTATCGAAATTCAAATCTTTCACCTCCCGCAGAAACCGGCAACGCCAAGCAACAATATCATTTCGTTCCAATAAAATTCTCCTCCGATTCAACTTTTTATACTCAAACCCCAAAGTAACTAAAACACTCTTGAGAGAAAAACTGCTGCCTCTAAATAAATTTGCGTCCCTTAATGAAATCAAGAGTTTTTTAATTGTAGGATGCTCTTTTTTCCTAATATAATCATATATATGCCGGCGAATAGCATCCTGTTGGAAACCATCTATGGCAGTGACGGTTTTCTGTTTCTTTCTCCTTTTTCCAGGTGTCTGTAAGGTCGTAGTGGCATTACCAACCTCATTAATAAGTTTTTCCTTCTCCTTGCATATTGCAACGACTGTATTTTTATTTAGACCTAACGCTGCTGCGGATCTGTCTACTACCCTCTCTAATGGTATTAAAATAGCCCTGTTATCCTTTTCTCGCTGAAAGAAATTCCGTACATTAACCACAAGTTCCCGTGACTGGCTGCGTAAAGCAGATCCCTGGCCAACTTTGGTGTAAGGTGATGGTCTCACTGGCCGAACGCGAGGACGCCCTCGTTTATTAACACTAGCGCCTCCTCTTCTTTCCATCAGAATTAATATGATAACACAACGTAATATGAAACAACAGATTTAACACGATATTACACCATGTAATTCCCAAAACCACTCACGACAACAACACTGGACGCAGACAACGCAACGGCACTACTGAGAGTTCCTGCCCTCTGGCCCTCGGGCATATACTGTATATATCTGTAAACATCTGTTGTAAACATCATTACTCATATCATCTTTGTTATGATGAGTGGGTGGTCGCGTCATTTGTTTCGGTGCAGTCTCGTGTCTTCGCCTACAGAGTTCTGTTTTGATTTGTCCATTGCTTGCCTATGTAAAAACTACAGCTGAGTTGAGCAAACAGGCAAAGGACATATTTCCCTTTTTAAAAGAAAAAGTTACGCATATACTCAACATTTCGCGAAATAATATATATAAAGCACTATAATTCTTAGTATATTTGAGATTGAGAAATAATTGAAAAAATCATAAAAAAGATTAATTGGTTTCACTTTAAAATGTATTACACACGGTTTTTGTTTTTTAGACATAAACCTTAATTTTGTAATTTTATCTTTTTTGCGCAGTAATATCACTATGCCTTAAATCTTTAAACATGTATAAATATTACTATCACGATATTACTATATTGAAAACAAGCTGGGAGTAGTTTTGATAGGTTATCTCTACATAATCATTATTTTATTTTCTAGCTAGGTTTGATGATGCAACATGATGAAGAATATAGTTCAGCACACGAGCAAAAAGTGGCTTTTGAGGATCTAGTGATAGAATATACTATTCCAACATCAAAATGTTTGTTTTGGAGCTTAGGAGACTGAACTCTCGCGGACAGTATACTGTTTTACTCGAAGTAGTCACTGTCATCTATCATAACACTAGAGGAACTGCTAGTGTTTGGTATCGATATCCGATATATCGGAAATATCGATATTTTGGTTCCGATATATCGATATTTTTATATCGATATTAGACTTCCGATATTATCGGGATATCGATATTTTAATTCGATATTATCGTTAGAATTAATTTTAGCAATTTTTCAAAGAATAATGCAAGAATAAAATACAGTTTAATCTTTTCTGAACTTGTTTAGCAGTTATTAAATATTATTAATAACAAATTTATTTGTAGACCTACACACAAACTATTTCATGTACCTATCTAGTTAAAAATATATTTTTAATCTGGTTGCCTCTGCCTGCATTTGAATAGTGAGTTGGCACGGTTGGCAGAAGTGGAGTGCCAAAATGAGGTGACGGCAGTGAAAACCAAACAAAACCATTAAATTCTCATTTGTTGTATATTTTTTTTGTACACAAGCCTAAAAAATTATAAATTGTAAACAATTTAACGTCATAGGTGTGCAGCTAACTGCTGTTCATGGTGGTACTTTCCTGTTAAAGGGAACATTCATTATTATCGATTATTTCTTTTTGAATATCGATATTTTATTTTTCTATCCGATATATTGATTATAACAAATTAAAACATATCAGCTGACAACTTCGATAAGGATAGGCTAATATTGTTCAGTATTAGCAAAGGTACTTTCCTTCTAAAGGGACATTTTTATATCAATGATTTCTTTTGATGACATATCGATATTTTTTTTACCAAACCGTCTGTATATATTCCTTTGTTTTAATATCTTCAAACGCATTTTTTTTTAATTGTTTGTTAAGGTAATTTCCTGTTAAAGGAAAGCATTGCGTCAGCATTCCAATTTAATTTGTAACGATATTTTTCCGATATATCGATATTTTTGGTCCGATATTATCGGAATATCGATATTGAGGCTCCGATATTATCGTCGATATAAATATCGATATTTTCTTTCGATATCCCAACACTAGGAACTGCACATGTGCGTGCGTGCGTGGAGTTGCTGTGCGATATGGCAACAGCGCCTGTTGCTATGGAAACCGCGTCAGGCTCTCCTCGCTCTTATTGGTCTGGTAGACAACCTGGCAGTTCTCCCTCTTACTTGAACGTCAGATAGCCCCACCACGCCGATACTGAAGTTGTATCTATTCAACTATAGTCTGCAGGTGTGCTGTGACAGGCGTAACCTGCTAAAAAAACAGGCCGTCAATGTGATATTGAAACCAATCTCGTAAAATAATTTACCATTACTAGAGTAAGGTTTAATTTTGTTCTGAATTTCTAAAATACAGTGGTCTTCGGAATCTGAAATGAAACATATTTTTGATTAAAATTATATATTTAAAATATACCAATTCAAATCAAAGTAAACTTATAATATTGTAACATTATTAAATTTACTCCGGGTAAAAGGAGAGGTTAGTTTCAGTGTTGGCTACTAGATAGTACCACAAACAGCGTGTTGTAAAATCAATGGCAATGGTGGTAGGTAGACACGGTTACAGTATTTCGTTAATTTCGCTCAAACAAAACAATAATTATTATTTATACAGTTCCCAGTTAATGTCAAACAACATTTTTTTGCTCGATAAAAGAAATAGACAGAATTATGGAAGCTTCATGAAGTTTTCAAAAAGGGTGAAACAATTATTAATTGTTATCTACCATACTGTATCATTACTATCATCATGCATGGAGTTTGACGTATGATAAATATCAACTCAAATACATTGTTATCCTCTATTATTAGAAAAATTAACTTATTTGAACAGAATTTATTATTCTGCGCAAAAGCGAGAAAGCCTGGAGGGGGAAGAGAAGTAGAACAACGGTACTTGGAGCCTTGTTTGAGAGTATGGAGGGGAAGGGAAGGGCAGGCGCGGGAAAGGTGGAGGGGATAGTATCAATTGTAGTACGCGAGAGGCAAGCAAGCGGGAGCGTAGCGAGGCGTGAGTGTATCTGATATAGGCTACGTTCAACGTGGCCTTTAAAGGCGATATCAGTCGTATGGTGGCATCAAGTCTGACTGCAGAATAGCTATATTCCAAGAAGTGATGATAAGTTGCGTAGGGACTTTGTGACAGTGTTAAACAAGTTATACGAGTGCGGCCATTTTTACACCGCGGGAGTTGTTTACGTTCGGACGGTGAGTGTAATCACAACATAACCAAAAATGCTGAAGCTATTAGGGGGACTGAAGGATTACTTGAAATTTCAGGACATAACGACCGATAATGCTATATTCCGTTTGCATAATACATTTACCACGGCATTGTTAATGGCATGTTCATTAGTTATCACAGCGACACAATATGTTGGAAGCCCTATACAGTGTATTGTCAGTGGACTACCTACTCATCCTGTCAATACTTTCTGCTGGATCACCTCTACGTTTACCATGCCTGACGCATTCAGGCGTCAAGTAGGAGTAGAAGTCGCACATCCAGGAGTTAGTAACGATTTTGGCGATGAAGATGCTAAGAAGTACTACACCTACTATCAGTGGGTTTGTTTCGTATTGTTTTTTCAAGCTATTCTCTGCTACACTCCGAAATTCATCTGGGATGCTTGGGAAGGAGGACTTCTTAGGACCATTGTCATGGGTCTGAACATTGGTCTTTGTCATGAGGAGGAGAAATGTAAGAAAAAGAAGGCGCTACTGGACTATCTTCTGAGACACGTTAGGGTAAGTTGTAACTTAAATTTGTTAGGAAGTAGGACTAAAGTTAAGTTACTAACTTAAGCTTTACAAATATCTATCCCACGATAAGCTTATTTGGACTTTGGGCTGCTTCTTAAATGGGCCCGGGCGCATGAGGTTTTAAGTTAGGTTGGTTGGAGCTGCAAGGAAGAGAAGGATTCGCCCAGAACGTAAGGTGGTAAGAGGCACAATTATCTCTTGGCTCCATAGCACATCACAATGCTAATGCACACCGCAGGCCTTTTGGGAGGTTTAACTAACCAAGGAGCCAGAGTACTGGCCAAAATGAACAGTGAGGGGGCTGTAACTGATTTCTTTAAGTTTATAATAAATTTGGTAATTTGTAATAATATACATCAATGCCCTTGAATATTACCGTATAGCCGAATACAGTAGGCCTACATGAAGAAAGAACCCCCTTTGCTTCAGAAGGTACGGAATAGATTTTGAGAATTCCAGTAAAACTCTCCCCAGATAAAAATAAAATGTTCTTCATGTAGGCCTAAGTTAACAGTCAATAAAAAAAAAATGAAAAGTGAAAACCTCTAAAACAATGATGAGAAAAAATAACTTAAGCCCATGTAACCAACGTAAATAACAGCATAACTTACCAAAAGCTTGTAGGTACCGGTAATTGTTTATAATAAGTTATTGTTATTGTAGCCTATTCTTACATAGAAATTAGGCGTAGGCCTATAAGTTAATTCAAAGTATTTTCACACTACCACACTGTATTTTGGCTGCAATTTCTAAAGACACAATTGGTTTTAATTAACTTACTGACTTGTCCCAACATCGACCAACTTCCGAGAATATTTACGCTATTCTAAGCTCCTCTGATCCTAGGTAATGAGGCTCGTGGCTTCTCAATCACTTAAGTTAGCCTATTATTAATATCCTTCCTAAAGTAAGGTGCGTTTGATAGGCCTACCCATTTATTAAAACGTTTTTATTAGCTCGCTTTCTTGTCCGGTACAAATTTTGCAATCAATTTTATACTAACTTCTCGATGAGCTAGAGACTTGAAACATAGCTCACAAATGGAAGACAATGCAATATTATATAATTTAATTTTCATATTTCCCTTGGGCGTTTCACATTTCCCTTGGCTTACACCCCATGGGCTTGTTTTTATTAGCTCGCTTTCCTACAAATTTTGATATCAATTTCACACAAAGTTCCCTATGAGCTAGAGACTTTAAATTTGAAACATAGCTCACAAATGGATGACAATGCAATATTATATCATTTAATTTTCATATTTCCCTTGGGCTACGCCCCATGGGCTTCCAAATTTTCCATGTTTAACCTACATTTTGAAAGAATGTAAATATATCAGTTAATTTAAGTCAGCTGTAAATACTTAAATTTGACAGTTCGAAGAACAGAGGTTAAGAGGTACAGGTAATGCTCCCAAGAGATTCTTTATACAGTAGACTCCCTCTTATCCGGACTCCTTGGGACCGAGGCCAGTCCGGATAACGGTTTTTCCGGTTAAGCCGACATCCCCAAAAACTCATTAAAATGGACCGTTTACGGTGATATTCAACTTAAATTTAGGAGAGCATTGTATTTAGACATGTGATCACTGGTCTCAAATCTTTCCCAAGAGAACAGTCGTTACAGTACCATCCACTTCCTGCCGATCTAGTCCGGTTAAACCAATGTGCCGATAATAATTGTCCGGTTAAAGAGATGTCATTTCCGTCAACTGTAGTCCGGTTAAACCGATGTCCGGTTAAAAGGTGTCTGGATGAGAGGGAGTCTACTGTACAAACAAACATTTCAAAATAAAGATTTAAACAATCTCAATGCAGATATAAAGGTGTTTATTAATAATGTCAATTGTTATTTAGTATTCTAAAGTAAACAATAAATTAAATAGATTAATATATTTATAGTTAGTAGGTAGGCCATACATTCAATCTAATACATAATTATATGAAAATGAAAAGAAACTCAAATAAACCTTAGATTTCCCACATACCTCTGTCTTAATTTGATATAGATGCTTGAATAGTTTTAACATCCACGCACATTAAAAACTAAAAAGTAGAAAATAATTTATAAATAAAAAAAACTTTTTAAAACAAAACGTTTTTAAACGCACTAAAAAGTAGAAAATAATTTATAAATAAGCGGAGAGTATAAATACTTGTAAGATTTAAAACGATAAACGTGGGGTGCATGCAATTGATAATAATACATTAGTTCAATAAGGTGAAGGTAATTGTAAATGATCTATTGCATGCACCCCACGTTTTTTGTTTAAAATCTTACACTACCCAGGCTGACGCTAACCGAAACCCTCGGTCTGTGAGACCCCGCTTTAAAATACACTAACGCTGGGCTTCTGAGACGAGCATGTTATGAACGGACAACCTGTCAAGGTCACGGCACCCACGCAAAATGAACAAAAAATATATCAACAGGTAGGGGAGGAAAAGATGGGAAGGTATTGGGGAAATGGAACCTCCCAAGTAACTCTTAAACAGTTTTGCCAACATGTGTTTTTGAAAATTCTCATGGGCCTGTCAGACTGGGGTTTCGGTATAAGTTTTAATAGTCAAAACTAAGCCAATAGTGTGTTGTATTGAAGCCTATGATGTGATTCATGCTTTTTAATAGGGTTTAGTAAAATTTTTCCATACCTAATGTAGGCCTATGTGTCCCCTTTTCTCTTATCGACAATATAATTCCATAAGGGGCTGTAATAATGTTTCCATTCCAGTTAACATTTCCCTTTCAGTAGCCTATATGTTTGCACTAGTAGGCTACACTTATATTGCTGTTACCTTACCCTTGGTAGTTAAAAAATCTCGCCTAATCAACATAATCTCAATGACATGTGAATCTGATTATGATATGGAAAGGAGTAGCTACCTTGTATAGCCTAAGTAACCAATCAGGATATGACTAGTGACATCGGCTACGATCATCTTTTGGAACTAAAAGCTATCCTTGATTCAGAGATGAGCTTCGATAACCGATGCTTTTTACATTACGGTAGTGGTAGATTGCCGATGTTTTTGTTTAGCCTACATTAATGTTTAGGTCAAACATCAGAGTTTTTAACCAACCATAGAAACATTGATGTTTTTCTGCTACTGAATTGTACAGTACAATAATAGAATAATGAAAATTTTGATTATGATTTATGAGCAAGAAATCATTTTTTTGTATTTATTAACTTACATTGATAGGTATCTAATTAAAAAAATATTGAAAACTGGATGTCACTTCGACAATATCCATTATACAGTGGGGTAAGAGTTATAAATGTTGCCAACATTCAGTTTTTTGATTTGAAATGAATTTTAGCAGGAGCGCTTCCGGCTTCTTTATGTTCAATAATTAAGACCGATATTTCTATTCCAGCAGATGTGAATGAGAAATTGACCATTTAGATCGTTTAACAAGTAGCTAGGATTATAAGCAGAGACAGAAAGCTGATGAAAATCTTAAAACAAAATAACATCGGTTAACTTAGGCCCGAGGTTAACTTAGTTTTTGCCCCGGAAAACTTCAATGTTTTTACAATGATGTTATTGTTACATAGTTGGTCGATACCAATGTTACCATCATTAATCTATTGATGTTCATCTGTACATGCTACGGACTACTGTTTGTGTTCATTTGTACATTAATCATTGAGCTTTTACAAATTTGATCCGGCTAGAGAATCAGCTGATCGTGGTGTAGATGGTTAATTTCATGATGTGTGCTTTGCTGCTTGGTTAGGGGACGAGTTATTGTTTATGATTAGATAATTTATTTGGTTAAATGAGGTTTTAATGACTATGATCCTACTCTCACTCTTCATTCTTAAGTTCATGATTAAAGTTTAAAAGCACCCTAGAATAAGTTATAATCAAAATATGTAACAAAACCATGGATTTGTTCATCATCCCACCATGTCTCATTGATTAGTCACATGGTCTCATCCCAACAGATTACCACCACTTGACCAAAGAGATTGGGCTATGACCAGCAGTGGTCTTAGATCTTATAATGCAGCGGGGGCATGGTTTACCATAAGATATTCATCCCCTAATATAGGTAATTAAATTTCTTTGGTTTTTAAGATTTTGAAAAAGCTACTGGCAATAGGATTACATTTAGATAACTATTTAACTGGTTACAGAAGGTTATTTGATGCTTAACTAGCTGAATTTACTGTTGTAAATTATTGATTTCTGTAGCATACACCAACTTTTAACCAAACTCAACTGAAAGGAGATTTTTATTCAAAAGTATAGCATCTTTTATGTCATAGCTATAATCACAGTACTGTAACAGTAAAACTAAAGATACATAATTTAGTGACAGTAGCGCAGCCTCTTATTTTTCTACGATCAGTTTGAAAACAAAATGGGCTGCAGTAGGTCCTTACACTGTAGAGCTTGGTCCTATTTTAAACCATTTAAAATTACCTACTCAGTTTTCTTAGGATTGAACTGGCGACCTTGTGTAGTGCAAAACTACTGATACAAAATGGACCAGTAGGAGACAATTTTAATTTTAGTTCCCTGTGGACGTGTGGCTTATGTAAGGGGGGTTTTTGATTATTTTTTGTTTACTGTTCCTGTTTGTTGATATTTAACTTATTTTATGCAAGGATCGGGTAAAGATGGTCTTTTAAGCGATACGAGTAGAAAATTTAATGTGAGAGCCTTGGCGAGTGCCTTTTAAACTTTTACGATTGTCTTAAAGGTTAATTACACGAGTTGCGTACCCTACTTTACCTATGGCCGTTTTTTAAATTACTAACAATCACTAGGTGGGTACTCATAACGTCTAGAGGTTGTGTTTTCGTTTATAACTTCTCATTGCCACTGTGATGCAACGTTGTCTCTACCACTCACTCATTGTACATAATCAATTAAATTTGCCTTAACAGCTGATAAGTTTATGTTAGAACTCAGAAACATTACGATTTTACTTCTTTTCTCTCAATCCTTGTATCACATTGGTCCAAACTTGTA